ATAATTTAAGGTATGTGGATGGTCCTATATTGCTTGCAAAGTGGGCCAAGCAGCAGTGAACTGAAATGTCTCCTGATGAAAGACAGAAGAAAGTGCTAAAGCAGGACAGCAGCAGATCATGACTACAGAAGGATCATAGAACTTCAATGTCAGCAATGAAGAAATTGAAATGGTGAAAGATTTGCATCTCTGGATTCAATTACCAATTCAACAGGATACTGCAGCCAAGAAACTGGAAGAAGACTAAGACTTGGAAGGACAGCAAGGAAGGAAATAGAAAAGATCACGCAGTGTAAAAATGTTTCATTGGAGACCTGGACCAAGATTATCCACACTATTGCATTCTTGAAGATTATGTGTGGGTGTGAAAGCTAGACAGTGAATCAACCTGACAGGAGAAAATTGATGCATTTGAAACATGGGGGTGGGGGGGGGAGCTTTGCAAATACCCTGGACTGCAGAAAGACAAACAAGTGGCTCCTAGAGCAAATCAAGTCAAAACTTGGCCTGGAAGCAAAAATGATGAAACTGAAGCTTGTACTTTGGACACATCATAAGAAGGCAGAACTTTTTGTAGAATACAATCATGTTAGGGAAAGTCAAAGGCAGAAGAAGAAAAGGAAGGCCAAATAAAAGAAGGACAATAAAGGAAGCCACAGCCTTGAATTTGCAAGCACTAAACATTCATTCATAGGGTTGCTGTGAGTCACAGATGACTTAGCAGCAAATAACAACAACAAGGCAATTCAAGTTAATGACTTAGACAAAAGAAACATGCTCTGAGTCTCTTCAAAGTACAAAACAGGTAATTTTAAAGAGGGACTGGCTCCACTCAGCAGAGACAGCTATCTTCAGCTCTCTTCGTCCATGTATGACGGGACGCTTAGCAGCCCAGTTCTGATGATCTGCCTCCTCTGCCATGGGACCTTGTGGGGCTTGCCTGGTGTTGGTGCACAATGCCGGTACACAGTAGTCACTGCCAGGCGGTGGCCATTTTCATTTCCCACAGGGGTCTAAAGCAGGGGTCCTCGAAGTTTTCCACCAGGGGCCAGTGCTGGGTGCGGGCCGGAAAGGTGGGTGCGGGCTGGGGCAGGGGCGGGGCGCGAGGGGAGGCGAGGCGAGGCGAGGCGGGCGCACAAGGCAGCGGCTTGCTCGCTTGGAGATCATCGTTTTCTCCGGGTGAGCAAATCACTGCCTCCCTGCGCACCCTGGGGCGAGGTGGGCAGTGGTGGGCACGCACATGGGTGCGCGCGTGGCGGGTCCAAATGGGCATGGCTGGCCGGATCTGGCCCCTGGGCCATAGTTTTAGGACCCATGACCTAAAATGATGCCGTGCCTGAGGCATTGTGGGAAATTAAAATATGGCCATTGCTGATCAGATTGCTGGGTCGAAAGTGGGGGCATGTTGGTGCGTCCTGCAGGAAAGCGATGCCTCCAGGAGCTTTTCTAGTAGGCCCAGCGGGAGCAAGTGCAACGCGGCACCGCGCGTCTTGCTGGCTGGCAAACACTCTGGACAGCCATCGTCACTCTGAGGAGCTAGAAAGGGCTGGGTTCCAGTTCAGAGGTGCTCTTGGAAGCCACATTCCAGAAGTGGGCAGGGCCACAGTCTGAAGGGGCAGGGCCCAAAAAGCCCAAACTTCTAATCATATTTTAGTTCACAACTATTTCTGCCAGCAACTAAACCTCAGGACCAGGGAAATGCAGACTCTATTCCATCACTCGCTCATTGACAGAATCAGATTCTGTGCAGCTGTATGGATTTGTGCAAAAGACCCCGAGGGTGTGGAATGGGCTTCCACGAGAGGTCATTGAGGCCCCATCGGTGAGGGTGTTCAAGGACAGGCTAGACATGCACATGGTGGGCATGTCATGAGTGGACCCAGCTGGAGCCAGAGGTCAGACTAGATAGCCTGGGAGCCCCCTTCTAACTCGCCCTCTTTCTGTGCTTCTATGTTCTATGTTTCTAAATTTGCACTTCTGAAAACATGCAGATTGTCAAAATTAGTTTATAGACTAAATGTGTGTAAAATTACAGAAGGAAAACCAAAAGGTTCATGATTCTGAGGTTTTTCTCCATAGGTAAATGTGCAACCCCCTAAAAGCTGCTCTGTCAGAGAGAAACCCTGTTTTACTCCATGGACTTGTGGGTTTAATTGATACACTTTTCTTACAGTGTTTCTCATTTAGATAATTATTCAAATCCATTCCTGATGGGCTTTTGGTCAAGTTGGCTGTCAGAAATGGTCCCGGTGGCCTTGGTGGATGGCCTGCCCCAGGAGATGACCTGTTCCAGGGATGAGCCTGTCTTGAGCTTCCCAGACATTCCAGACTCTTTGGGTGTAATCGATCATGCTGTCCTTGGGGTGGAGGTGGGGGATTCTGCAGGAAAGGGCTAGGCGATGATCTACTTCAGTGGCTCTGCTCCATCCCAGAAGATAGAACCAGAAGGCTGTGCTGGGAGATCCCTGGTCTGCCCTCTGGTCTTTGGACTGTGGTTCCCAGTGTTCTACCTCCTCTCAGAAGCACATTGACTCCCAAATGAAACTACTAGGTGCAGCTGTCCAGATGTTGGTCTGGAATGTCATCTATATTTGGGCACTGTTTCATTTTGTTTTTTACAACAATGTCTGTTTTCATTGCTGATTAAAATGACTGCTTTTGTGTCCTTTTGAACTGAGTATTTTGAAATATAATCTATATATAATCAATATAATTGGTATATAAATTGAGCCACTTAGTCTAGCCTCAATTTTAAAAGCTTAGCAATCCAAGCTTGAGAAGTGGCATAGCTGCAAAGCACTATGCAGTTGAGTCAATGCTCTTCCATCAACCTGACATGGACTCCTCTTGGCTTCACCATCAAATAACACGGGCGGAGCAAGTTCTTTGCATGCCCACGGCCCAAGACCTGCTCTGGGTTAGAAGGAGAACGTGGTAAAGTCTTTCTGGTGGAGTCCCTCCTCTGCTGTTGGATGCCGGAGGGCTTACTCAGCAGTGATGCAGATGGAAACATCACTTTCAGGTGACTGAAGGCTGCCACTTGGATTTCCCACAATGGCCCAGGGTTATACAACACCAGGGGCATTGTGGGGAATTAAAATTAACTTGGTCCGTCCACCTTGGGGGTGGGGGGATATTAAAGGAGGCAAGGGCAGGCCTCAGTGGTGGGTCCAGCAGGGGAGGAACTGTGGTGCCAGCTGATCCCAATAGCCAAGAAGCTGCCAAGCCACCTTCAAATAAATGGCCCAGTGATGGAATGGAGAAGCTCTAGACTGGAAATTTAGACAACTGTTGCCAAAGATCGATGGCTTAAGGCAGCTTCATAGGATTTCAGGTCCAGGGTCAAATCTAGACCCCAGTTTTGCACAAATCTAAAACACACAACTGCAAAATTCAAAGTAGCCAGGACAGAGTGTATACTGATATATAGAGAGGTGGATACTTCCATGTTAAGTTCTACAGTGAGAACAATAAGAATATCCAAAATCCAGTGAGTCAGCCCTGCTTTCTGCAAATGCACACAAATTACACTAGAGGTGTGCAGTTCTTGGCTCAACATTTGCAGAAATCTTTCAAGCCATTTCACAGAAGCTGCCTCCTGCCCCCCCAACTCAGCCTGCTCTCAGCCATTGGATTGCAAATATGCCGAAAGTCTGCTGAGCTCAAAAGGAACAAGTTACTCAGTTGTCACATGTACCTACATGGCACTGGCTAGCTCCCAATGTTAGTCCTACCAAGAGTAGACCCATTTAAATGAACAGAACGCAGGTTAGACTAGCAGTGGATATAAGCTATGGTCTCAGGCATGATCCACGAGAACATTTCTCAACCTGATGACATCCAGATGTGTTGGACTTCACTCCCGGACTGTTGGGGAAGGATGTTCTGCAATTTGGCCTCAGGTTCCCCCTCTTATGGGAAGGCCCTTGCAGCCCAGGCTCAGTTGTGTGGCTGTTTCCCCACCTTGCATACTTGGTCCCTCGAGGTTTTCTTTCTCCCCTTTCCAGGGAGACAAGTCTTCGTGTGACCACCCGCCCCCAGCACACATCTTCTCTCTTGCCCTGGCCATGGCTTCCTCGTCATTAAGGAGACCATTGATCAGGCCTGAGACAAAGAAGGCAGCTTTCCTAATGATTTGTTTGGGCATTATTCGAGCAAGCGATAAGGCACTTGGAGGTGCCTCTGCACCTTGGGAAGCAGACACAGCCAGCTCTTCAGAGATCTTGGGCCTTTTAAACTCAACAGCTGCCTCGCTCGCTCGCTCGCTCGCTCGCTCGCTTTGTGCTTTTCTGTCAGGAGAGGCTATTATGCTCTTGACATTTCTCTAATCACCAACATCAAGGGGAATGGCTGCAGTGCATCATGGAAACATGGAGGAGAGCAAAGGCAATGCAGAGCAAATCTGCAAAGGGCGGCAGCTTTCTGAACCAGTGGGAAGGAGCTGTGGGAGAACTTCTGAACGAGGCCCCATCTCCAGGGCGGGCCTCGGCAAGATCAGCTGAGCTGCCAGAAAACTTCGCTCCTTCACACTGCATCTGGCCAGTGGGAAGGGACTTATTCCCAGTATGCCCCATTATTTCAATCCTCTAGAAAACTAACTTGCAGTTGTGGAACTGAATCCTTTAACTGGTTTGAGTCAGGGAACTGTCCCGTTGGAACTGGTGGTGCAGCCCATCAGGCTCAGGGTCAAAACTAGCTCTTCTGGGCTCCCAGTCCAGCCCTACAGGGATGCCCAGATAGATGACACCTGACCCTCCCTATCACAAGGGTCACTCCCGAGTTTTTCCAGTTTTTGTGACATTTTATCCTATTCTTAAAGGTTGAAATGGCACTGCTGGGGCATAACTATTGGCACGATGAGTTCCGAGCTGGGATTCTTGGCCCATCCCTTTTACCTTTGGTTCCGCCTTCTTTGTCTTTGGCCCCACTCACCACAGGCGTGTGACCCCCAAGTGTTTCCCTGCAAATTTGGTCCAGAATTCTAAAGTGGGACCTCTTACCTGAAGGTAATGGTAGGACCGGTCCTTGACCTTGGCCTCTTGGAGCATCAAGGCCTTCTCCGAGCCCCCTCCTGAGCTGGGGTAGGCCTCCCGTGCTTGGCTGACTGTCATGGTGTGCCAGGAGCTCCTCTTGAGGGTCTGGCCATCCAGGGACATGGACATCCCAGCACAGGCCAGGCACTTTCCTTCCCCACCTCCGCTCTTCAGGCTCTTCAAGGTCAAGTCTCTGAAGGCACTTTCTGGGGTGTCCGCGCAGTACTGGGTGGCTTGGTCCACGGCATGCTGCCTCCCGGACATCATGTAGCTGCTGTCACTATCCAAATTGTCGTCTGAGCTCCACCAGCCCATCATCTTGTTCCGGTGGCGAGACGAGGAAGAGGAGGAGTCTGGCTTGCGGTCTTTGCTTTTGCTGCGCTTGCCGTGGCGGGACTGGCGGTGGTGGTGGTGCGGGTGGTGGTGGTGGTACCCGGCCTCCCCTCCCCGGCCATCCATCTTGGTGCCGTTGTACTCCCGCTTGGAGGGCGCCTCCAGGGAGTGCGACTTGGCGAAGAGCTTCTGGACCGAGTGGACAAGGTGCCGGATGCGGCTGGGGCTCTCGCTGCGCGGCTGCTCCGCGCTGCTGGCCCGCTGGTACTGCAGGGTATGGAAGCCCTCGTGGTGCAGGGGCAGCTGCTTCTCGAACTGGTCGAGGAGCGTTGGGGGCAGCCGGTTGATCTTGCCAGAGGGGTGGGCTGCCGCCATGCACTCGTCGCAGGAGTCGTGCTGCTGCAGCATGTGGTGCATTCTAGGGAAGGTGCTGCTGCTGCTGGTGGTGGAGAGGGGCTCCGTTAGGCTGAGCAGGGGCTCAGCGGAGCTCCGGGATGGGCAGTAGCGGTCCAAGGAACAGGGCTCACTGGGGCTGAGGAGGTATGGCTGGCGAGGTTCCTGGCTGTGGTGGGCGAATTCCATCGGCTGGTCGCAGGCCTCTGGCACGCAGTGGCAGGGGTGTTCCCGTGATTGGCTGCGCCCCCCATGATAGCTCTTCATGGTGTCATAACCAGGCACATGGGATGCTCATCCTGCCATCCATCGGGGGCAGAGGACCACCACGCGGCACCTGCAAAAATCCCAACAACACCACCGGTGAGTTTGCAGTGAGGGAAGGGGCTGCAGTTCAGCGGCCGGGCAGAGGGTTCACTGAAGGGAAAAAAGGACCATCGGTCTGGCCCTTGCCCCTGGACAAGCTCCCCACAGGAAGCCCTGCAGAGCTGCGGTCAGGCAGTCTGGACACCCCTTAGATTAGTGGTGAGGAAACTCTGGCCAGCGTGCTCCAGGGGTCCCGGTCCGGCTCTTTGAGGTTCTGTGGCTGGCCCTGCCCTCTGCCCTGGTTCCCTCTCCCTTATCTCAGCCACTAGTTGTTTGCTTGTTTCCTGGCTTTGCCCCTGCTTCCCAAAAATTGTAGCCCCAACCATTTTAAGACTGCAGAGGGAATGGGCTTACCCAAATCCAAACATCCCCAATTGGAAGGCTTAGCTGCCCAAGCAATGAACCTGCCACCACGGTCCTCTTGCACATGGAAAAACCCTCGCATGCCAGGCTGTATAACTCATCCGCCACATCCCACTTCTGATTTTCCCCATCCACATGACTCTCACACTTCCTGGACTCCTCCAGCTTGCAATCCTGATATGCCAAGCTCTGGTCTGACTCTGCAGTGTGTCCCTGCAGAAGAACTGGGTGGCCAGCTTTAATTTCCAAGATGTATTTGAATGGGACCAGAGCCTGACAAGTGAGGGCAGGGCATGGCTGCTGTCTGAGTGGAAAACAGTGCGATGTGGCTGGAGCCTTATTTAATCCGGCCACGAAATTTATGCCCTGCTTTTTTTCCTGCAAAGCAACCTGCTTGGTTCTCTTCATTCTTTGCTCACAACAACCCTACAAAGTAGAATAGGCTGGGGATCCATGGCTGGCCCAAATTCACCCAATGGATTTCGTGGCCAAGTGGGCCCTAGAACCCAGATCTCCCAAGTCCTAGTTCAGCATTCTTACCACTACACCAAACTGGCTCACCATAATGGTTGCAACATAGTTGGTCACAGGTGATGCTAGAGCATAATTTTTACAGGGGACTCAGGGTTGGAAACCACTAAGCAGGAAATTCCTGCACTTGAAGATAGACGTTGACCAATCTAGCTGTGAGTGAGAGATTTGTGTTAGTACTTTCCCCTCCTGCGATAAAATGATATGGTAGCCATTGAGTAGAAGCTGAACTGCTTTTAAGCCACCGCAGAAAGTTTTTCCTTTCATCACTTCAATTTTTCTTTAAAAAAGTAGGAAGAAAGTATAGTTTCATTTTTAGCTGTTCATAAAAAATGCAAGAATGAATGAAGGGAGGAAGGAAGGAAAAAAAGACAGTGGAGACCAGAGGAAAAGAAAAAAGGCCAGGGGAGGGGAGAGTACAGCCCTTCTAAGAAGGAGAGGCACAAGGTCACTCCATTCCTGGAGTGGATTTATTGGGGCTTCACGCACACCAGCTCCTCCGAGCCACAAATCACACTTTAATTATTCATAAATCTATAACTGCAGCATTCAAAACAGGAGGGGAAGCAACTGCGGCATTGCGCACTCTTGTCTGTTAAAGGTGGACAGGATGTTTCCAGGGCTGTGAATCAAGCACCCAGGTCAGGGACCTCAGCACCTCATGCCCTCGTAAACAGGCATGGGAGATCAAGCCACTCCAAGTCTTCTCTCCCTTCCACCTCACCCCTGTTAGAGCAGCAGCGCTCTGAGACCTCTTGAAACAGCACTGGGAGCAAATAGCAAGCCAGCTTCTGCCCACCTGGTGCCATATAGGTGGGCTGGGCTATAACCCCCACCATGCACAAGCCAGCAGGGCTTCTCTGCTGGGGAGAGTTGTAGTCCAACAAAACTGCATCAGGCTACAATTCTCATCATCCACCAGATGGCATAGGATACTGGTGGCAGCAGCAATGACAGGAGCTGATGTCCAACCCATATGGAAGGCACTGGATTAGGGAAGGCTGTGCTGTACCACTGTAACACACACACACACACACACACACACACACACACACACACAGAGGGGGAGAGAGAGAGAGAGAGAGATTTTCATCAATCAGTCTTCGCTTATTGTGGATTGCTCGTCCTCATTTTTGGATCCTGAATATAGCCTAAGTGCCGGGCAACACATGTTGATCCGCAAGCTATATTTAGGTTCCTAGAATGGCCACCCACTTTTTAAGACATTTGGATGGCTGGAAGCAAGTTGCTGATTAGGAAAGCATTGTCCAACTTTCGCAATGAGGCAAGTGTCTCGTTGAGGGTTGGCCCTAGCAGTAGCCACAGCGAGGCAATGCCTCAGGCAGCACATGCTCAGAGGTGGCAGCAAGGTGCAGAAGGAGACCTCCGTGCCGTGAGAGCTGGCCAGCGCTCGAAGTTAGCCTTTTCTCTTCATGGGCTGTGGCAGATGCTGCACCACCCTCAGTGTTGAAGACGGAGGCATCTACCAGCCAGCTGGCTTTTGTGCATGGAATGGGAGAGGTGCCAGCTCATTCTTTGCCTCAGGCAGCAAGATGGCCTGGCTAGCTCTGGTCTGGATCAAATTGGCCTTAACTGTCACTGAGCCACAAACTCCAGCACACATCTTTCCTGCCTTCTCTTCTCCTGAGGTTGCCAGTCTTTGATTTCAGAAGTGAATCCCAAAGAACAGTCCTGTTCAATTGCAGGTAGGGCCAGGATGAATCTAGAAAGTCAGGGCTGAATTGCGCAGAATGGGTCGGAGCCTGTCAAAGCCCTGCTGGTTTGGGTGTGGCCTGACGCAGTCTGTCAAGGCAAGAGGGAGGAGCCCAGATGGTGAGAAAAGTGAATGGCATCCGCTGACTTATGGGGAAAATGGTCAGTCATTTATTTTGCTTTTGGTTTCTGAGACCATCTTTAGGCAACAGATCTCCAGCCCAGGACCAATTCCAGCCTATCTAGTTCCTAATACAGCAGTCTGGTGTTTCCCGGCTTTTGTGTACTCCCCTGCCCATTCTAAAAGGTTGAAATGCCTCCTCTAAAGCTCAGCTACTGGGACTTAAAATATGCTGGTATTTTGGCTTGGCCCCTTATGCTTTTGGCCCCTCCAACCACTAAAATATGGCCTCTCTGAGCTTCAAAATGGTATTCAGCTTTTGGGCTGAAAAAGACTCCACATGGCTATTTTGCACAGTATCTTTTGTGTAAGTAACTCCATTTTGCCATGCATTTTCCCTATTCTGGAATTGACTTCTTTTGCTTATGCATGTTTTGGATGGAGTCCAGCAACCATGAGCTTTTCAGAGTCAGACTGAGAGAGAGCTGTTCCCAGGGAGGTTTATGAGGACAGAGCTGAAGGGTGGTCTTCCAAGTCCACAATCATAATTGTGTGGTCTGCATGACACTGTTTTTCCAATATGGCATTGTTCAGCCCAGCAGCAGAGACTCACCTCTGGATGGGATTGAAATGTGACTGCCAGCACAGCAGAATCTGATCAGGTTGAAGGCAACATTACAAGCTCTCTATGAACTGACCAGAGGCCATGCCAGGCATAGGGAACCAGAGACCTGGGCATCAAATCCAGCCTTCTGTGGTTCCAGTCTGGCTTGCCTGATTTCCACAGATGGCCACATCTCCCCTAAACCAGGACCACATCCCTCTTTCTCCTGACCAGTGATCTTTTTGTGGCTTCCTAACTTTTCTGCAGACCTCCTCATTCCATTCTAAAAAGTCAAATGCCCTTCCAAGGGTTTGTGCAGGTAGTAAGAGCTTTAAGCTACAATATGGTGGTTTTTCAGCCCCACCACATCCACAACAGGGATGTAGCCCCCAAGATCTTGAAAAAAGACCTTCGTCAAATTCCATTTGGAATTTGGTTCTCATGTTTAAAGCGGTTCTGCACCTCTGCTTTATGCATTTGTTCTGGCTGCAACATTGGGGTGAGCTTGGCCTCCAACTGGCATCTGCTTAGGCTGGCTTCTCATGGAGCAGAATCAGATGATGGAGTTCTGAGGTATGTAAATGGATTTGGACACCTAAAAAGGCAGGTAAGGGATCTCATTCTTTTGGTTAGTTACTTCTCTATTTCCGGGATGTCTGGTGCTATTATTTTCCCACATGGGGAGCATATGAAGTGTTCCAGTCTGAGTTGAGGGGCTACCCTTCCACCTCACAAGGACTCTGCCAGCAATTTCTGCTGTGAGTGTAACATACAGTATAGGCTGCATTGCTACAATTCAATGGGACAGGCTGGAACTCGGTGGAGAGCGGATGCTCCCGTACAACAGACCGCAGCTCCACGCCTTCTTCACCCAGAGGGGGCTGGGAAAGGCTCTTTGCCAAAACTCCAGGAACCTGATGCCAGTCACTGTAGGCCAGAGGCGAGGAATCTGTGGACTGCTGCATGTTCTTGGGCTGCAGCTTTCATTTTCCCCAACTATTGACCGTGCTGGATATGGCTGATAGAAAAATGGTGTCTGGGACTTGGAGGGCTGAAATATTTGGGTTGGCCTCTGCCATGGCATGTGCTTAGGTCTGCTGAGCATGGGTGAGGTTTGGGTTACACAATTCCACTATCCAACGGCTCTTTACCAAGGTTTTAAAGCAGACAGCCTTCTCGGGGAAACAGTTCAGCACCAAGGACAGTTCCATGGAAGGGTGTCCTTCTGTTGCTCCAGCAAACAGGAGCTTAAGTCTGAGCCCTAACTGCATGCATGGGTGTGGTGGCTCCCTTTAGGTTGGCTCATCCCAGCTCCACACTGACTGAGGCCTTTTCCTTTAAAGGGACTTAGACGGTTTTCGCATTCTCAGGCTGCACTGACATTGTGGTCATGGCTAGAGTCCTGTGAGAGCAATGAGGCTTCCTCTGGTCAGAGGAGGACTGGATTCTGGAGTCTTCCTGGTAAAGTGATTGCAAAAGAGAAGGAAGTCTCATGATGCCTTTCTATAGCCATGCCCTCTTCTTCTGAGGATAAGGGTTTGAGATCAGGGTTGCTATATCTGGAGCCAC